ACTGGCCTCCTTTATGGGGTGGTTGTGAAGATTACTGAGCTATTAAACTGCATGAAACAAGTGGTATTTTGACTACTGGCAGGCCAAGCTGAGCTTGCCAAGAATGCCCTGTGGCAATCCTGCAGACGCCCCGCGTGCATTTCATGTCATTCCCACTTGTTAAAGGTGCAAGGGCCTTGCCAGACAAAGAGGGGGGGGCAACTCCATGCAGGTGGTGCCAGCCAGATGGGTCATTTCCCTTCTCCCTACCCTCCCCACCCGCCCCAGATACCAGCCATCACTTAATCTTGCCCTTTTCCAGATGTTACCCACAGGGCATTCTCGGGCTCTGTCTGTTCAGTCGTACCCCACCCCGCCCCATTTAATTTCAGATCGATAACCATGGCAACCGTCTGCTGGTCAACGAGGAAGCCTCTATCAATGTTCCCGCCATCGCAGCCGCCCATGTCGTCAAACGCTACACGGCGCAAGCACCCGACGAGCTCTCCTTTGAGGTGCGTTCAGCCCCATGGGGCACGCGGCTCTGAATGACGTTTTCTTTGTGGACACACGGGCTCCCCACCTCTGCCACACTGTAATCGCCCCATCCCTTTTGCAAGGAGGTCACTGCTTGCTTAGTAGAACAGAGAATTGCTGTTCTCTTTCCCAGCTGAAAAAGGGCAATACCCAGTGGTTTTCAATATGAAAGGGGTTCAGAAGGGGCTACCTCTGCTTAGGTTTGCCCTGTGGTGCGTGGAATCTGTTCGGCACTTGTGCTTCTTGTTAATTCTATAGAATCATAGAATAGAATCATAGAATCACAGAGTTGGAAGGGACCTCCAGGGTCATCTAGTCCAACCCCTGCACAATGAAGGAGAGTCACAAATACCTCCCCGTTTGGTGATTACATTATCCCTTCCACCATGTGAGAGGAGATGTAGAAATAGGAGTTTTAGGTTTGGTTTGGATTAAACCATGGGGTGAATTCATAACTTGATTTTTAAAAAATGGATTATTATATGAATGAATGAATTTTATTGTTACATATAACTTGATTTAAAAAAAATGGATTATTATATGTATTTGTGGTTTTATCCCTTGACTCCCACGTTAGAGCTGGCCGCTCTTGCTTGGAAAATTCCTAGCAATTTGGGGGCGGTGCCTGGGGAGGGTGTAGTTTGGGAAGGGATGCAATGTCACTCTAGGATTTCCATTTCTCCTAGACTCTGTGGTAAACCATAGAGTCTCCCTTGTAAAGCTGTCATTTCCTTCAGGGGAACTGATCTCTAGCATCTGGAAATCAGTTTTAATTCCAGGAGAACTTAAGGCCCCTCCTTGATGTTGGAAACCCGGCCCCACAGAGAGAAAGCATCCCGTATTCTGAGATGAAAAAAGTTGCCATAATCCTGCAGAAATGGAGATCAAAATGTACTTCAGCCAGGCCTGCAAACAGAGGGCCTTTGAACTAGATATGTTTTGGAATTTACAAACTGACCTTCTATGATGCATCTTTGTTTATAGTCTTGGTGCAGTTTTATGTGATCTTTGGGTTTTGTTATTATTTATACTTGGTGATTATGAAGTTTCACAATGAGCTGATTGTGTAAACCGTAAATCTTTGTGACTTCATTTCTGTCATTGGGGGACAACAATGCTAGATGCTGGAAGGATCTCATATCTGAAACATTTTGAACGGTTAGGGAACGCACTGTCTTCATACCACATTCAGCCTAGCCTCTGTGTGAAGCATACATCTTTGACCTTGCCTGCTAGCAGAACAGGACAAATCCATAGTGTTGTCTATCCATGTGGTACCTTGCTTTATTACAAAATGGTAATTATCTGTTCGGTGCAGGTTGGAGACATCATCTCTGTGATTGATATGCCCCCCAAGGAGGACAGGAGCTGGTGGCGTGGAAAACATGGATTCCAGGTTGGGCTTAAGGATTGGTTCAGGAAAGACCTCTTTGGGGCCAGAACTGTGTTGTGCAACTCCTTCATGCTCTAAACCCCCCAACAGCTGCTGCTTCTCTGTCTGGATGGGGTGCCTCTTGTCTCCTACAACTCTTCCCCCCCCCCAGCCCCATCCCTAGAGCTTCTCAAGCCAGCTTGATGTAGTGGTTAAGAGCAGCAGACAGAGGTCATTTCGGGGGGGAACGCGGGGGAATGCAGTTCCCCTGGGTGAGGTATGGGGGGCGGGGCACATGACGAAGCCCCGCCCCCCGCTTCCGGCCGCCCCGCTTCCGGCCCTCATTCAGCCAGGAGGAGGCAGGAGAAGAGGGAGGGTAAGTTGCTTCCTCCCCGCCTCTCCCCACCCCTGCCTGCCTGGGGCCAGGGAGGGCCTTCGCGGGGCTTCCTTGCACTCCTGCTGGCCTTGCAGGTCCACCGCCGGGCCCCTCATTGGGGGCGGGGTGTGTGGCCTTATGACACACTTCCGGTGATGTCAGGGGGTGTGGCATATGCTAATGAGTTATGCTAATGAGTCCCCCTAGCTCTTTTTCTACGAAATGACCCCTGGCAGCAGATGGTTAAGAGAGGCAGACTCTAACCTGGAGAACTGGGTCTGATTCCCCGCTCCTCCTCCGCATGAAGCCTGCCGGGTGACTTTGGGCCAGTCACAGTTCTCTCCGAACTCTCTCTGCCCTACTTACCTCACAAGGTGCCTGTTGTGGGGAGAGGAGAAGAAGGTGGTTGTAAACCACCTTTTGAGACTCCTTAAGGTAGAGAAAAGCAGGGTATAAAAACAATTCTTCTTTTGGCATAGGAAATGAATAACCAGTATAAACACAGCAGGGCCAACCCAACATAGTGGCCACAGGTCTAACCCATGGCTGACGATGCCATTTTAGAGAAGCATTTGATAAATTGCTGTGAAGGCCCAATCTTGATCGGGCTCATAGCGAGGGGGAAACCAGGCAATCTTGCTCCCCCCCCCTCCCGTGTCTTTTCAGGCCCTGAAACAGCCCTTGCAGCATTTTCAAATGGCCAAGGTCTTCTCTTAAATGGCCAACCGTAATGTCTAGTTTGGCAGTCGTTATATAAAGGTCATAAAGGCTAAATAAAGAGTATCTGAAGAGTATCTGTTTTCCTCTACCCTGGTAATGCTGTTCATTGTCTACTTGTCAGGCTAATCTGGGTGTGTGTGTGCGCTAAACGGTGGCAGCATTTGGGGGTTTGCTCCATGGCAAGCTGCGGTTTGCTTAGCCAGGAACCGAGCTGTGCTCTTCTGCTCTTCTGCTTTCCCCCCCTGTTTTCTTGTGTACACACTGCAACTCCGGTTTGCCTGTTTCTTTCCCAGGTGGGCTTCTTCCCCAGCGAGTGTGTGGAGCTGTTCTCGGAACGGCCGGCATCGGGACTCAAAGGAGGTAAACTTTCTTTTCCCTGGATGTCCAGGGTCGCCCTCCAAGTCTCCTAAATCTGCTTTCCTCCAAGGACCCCAGGGTGGATTTGTGTTATTACCCTCCAGTCTTGTCGTCACAACCAGGGCTATTTTGGGGCAGGAACGCACAGGAACGGAGTTCCGGCTGGCTCCCAAGTTGACCACGCCCAGCAGGAACCTATTAGCATAATAGGCCACACCCAGCAGCAGAAATCTATTAGGATTGGCTATATTAGGGGTGTGTGGCCTAACATGCAAAGGAGTTCCTGCTACAAAAAAGGCCCTGGGTTTTGACAACAAACAAGGTAAACAGAATAAGAAGCAAAAGGTGGGTGTGGCTGGATGACCACACTTCTGGTAACATGGGGGTGTGTGGCCTAATATGCCAATGAGCTGTGCTATCAGGGGTGTGGCCCAATATGCTAATGAGTTCCTGCTGTTGGGTGTGGCCTATTATGCTAATGAGTTCCTGCTGGGCTTTTTCTACAAAAAGAGCCCTGGACTCACAACAAACCCTGTAAGGAAGGTTAGGCTGAGAGACACGGCTGTATGTGGAAGGGTGTCACTTAGAAGAGAGCAGGGAGCTGTTCCTGTTGGCAGCAGAGGAGAGGACTCGCAGTAATGGGTTCGAATTATGGAGGGAAGGGTACCGACTGGATATTAGGGAAAAAAAATTTCTACGGTAAGAGTAGTTCAGCAGTGGAATGGGCTGCCGAGGGAGGTGATGAGCTCTCCCTCAATGGCAGTCTTTACGCAGCCGCTGGACAAACACTTGTCAGGGATGCTCTAGGCTGAACTTGCACTGGGCAGGGGGCTGGACTAGATGGCCCCTGTAGCCCCTTCCAACTCTGTGGTTCTTTGACTGGCCCAAGGTCCCCTTGCAGGCTTTGTGGAAGAGCAAGAATTTATTTATTTTGATTTATTTACAGTATTAATAGTCTGCCTTTCTTGCAGAGACTTAAGGTGGATTACTCAGTGTGAGTCAATGCAGTCAGCAGGATGGGACATCCAATAAACAAAGCAATAGGGTTAGGGATACCATATTTTGAAAGGGAAAAAAGAGGACACATTCTCTGACTGACTCCTTTAAACGAGTGATCACTATGACAGATCTCATTTTAAATAACCCTACTATTGAAGCTGTGATAATGGCTACCAACTAGGAATATTCCTAACCTTCCAACCCCAAAAGAGGACTTTTTCCTCAGTTATTTTAAAAAGGCTCAATAGAGGACGGACACCAAAAAAAAGAGGACATGTCCTCTAAAAAGAGGACATCTGGTAACCCTAAACAGGGTAGAATTTGAACCTGGCTCTCCCTAATCCAGGTTCAGCCTTTACCAAGTCCAGCGTACATCATCAGATGAGCCAAACCATAAACTTTCAATTTATTTCAAAGATTTATATGCCGCCTCTCCAGAGCCCCACTCAAGGCAGCTCACAAAGTACAAATCAGTATAATACGTTTATAAAGACAGTAACATATAAGAGTTATCAATATTAAAAACAAGCCAAGGGTATAAAGATAGCATAAAATAACCTTCTGCAGCCTAAACCAGTATTCATGAATGGGGCAGACTGGCTGTTTAACTCACAGGGAAATTTCCTGGTGGGCCACTAGAGGGCGACTGGTGTCCAGGAGCAAGCAGAGCCAAGCCCCAGCCAGCAGCTCAGGGGCCACTTGGTTTAGACCCTGCATCAGTTCACCAGTTGTATTTTCCTTCTGTCAATTTTCAGGAGGAAGCAGTGGGTCAGCTAATGCGCATCGTTTGCACCACTGAGCTAAGTGACCCCCAGAGTCCTGGCCTGTAACGCCACAGGGAACTCTCAGCTTGGCTTGCTCCCAGACCGTTTGCACTTCCCAATCTGCTCCTGTCCATAAGCAGTTCTCAGGCTACAAGCAGACCATTAAAAATAATGGAACTCTTTAGTTTAAAAGCCTGAGTTAAAAAAAAGATGTTTAGGTCTGGTGCCTAGAGGACAGTAAGGTAAGTGCCAAGCAAACATCAAAAGGGAAGGCGTTCAAAAAGTGAGGTGCCACCACTGAAAAAGCCCTGTCTCTGGTTATCACCACCTGCTTCACCTCTGGGTATAAAAGCAATTCTTCTTTTTGGCATAGGAAATGAATAACGACTATAAAATACACGAGGGCCAAACTAGACATTATAGTGGCCACAGGTCCAGCCCACGACTGCCAATGCCATTTTGGGCTATGGTCATACACACTAAATAATCCACTTTCAATCTGCTTTCAGTCCACTTTCAGCGGTGCACTTTCTAACTGGATTTTTACTGTGTGGACTGGCAAAATCCAGTTGGAAAGTGGATTATTTAGCGTGCGTGACCTCAGCCTTAGAGAAGATTTTAGCCATTTAATAAATCTCAGGCTACAACTACTTTAAATAATGGAACTGTTTAGTTTAAAAGCCTGAGTTTAAAAAGGATGTTTAGGCCTGGTGCCTAGAGGACAGTAAGGTGGACAGTAAGGTGTGTCAGGCAAGCGTCAAAAGGGAAGGCGTTCAAAAAGTGAGGTGCCACCACTGGTTATCTCTGGTTATCACCACCTGCTTCACTTCTGTGGTGGTGGTGGTGGTGGGGACACCGAGGGCAGGGCTGGGGACAGGATCTTAACTACCAGCCTAGACAACCCGAGAAGAGTGGAGGAGGTGAACTGTGCTGGACAGACTTGCGCCAGTAGCTGAGAAAGGGAGGGGTCGAAGCCGAGGGGGGATTTGCTTTGTTGCTCTCTCCTTAGTGTGTGTCTTCCCCAACAGATGCAGAAGGGATGAGCTGCGGCATTTCCAGACCCCATGGCCTCCTCTCCCCCACTTCAGGTGAGAT